GGGAAAAACAGTTATATTTTCTGTCTGACTGACTTTTCAGTCATATGTATACAATGGACCTAACTCTGATACCTGGTTTGTAAAAATCTCTGCTTGCCCAGAGGATGAAGAAAGGAGCCTACAAGAAGAAGAATCTATCTGAAGAATGAAGGTACATTAATAATTTTAATAAGATCATACACAGACATGAAAACCAAAACCAGAATCACCAACTCATGTTCACCCTTCAAAAACATCCTCAGCCAGTCCAATTAATTTGATGAGGTACAAAAATTAGCAAATAACTTACCTCAGGTGCTGATAAGGCCAAACCAGGCTGTAAGAAAGGGATGGGCCTGTGTTTCCAGGCTCATCTGTACATCAAGTACAGGGGTGAGAAAAACTTCCAGCACTGTTCCCATATGTACCATAGATCATACTTTAACTGCTTGATACTTCGGACATCCTTCTCGTCGTAAGGTCCCTGTGCTTGATGAGTTTGTAGTGCAGGTGATACCTTGGTGAGCTATGCACACCTTCTGTGTGCCTGGGACTGCCAAAGGCCGTTGGAGAACTAGAGCAGTCATTGTCTTTGATTTAGTAGCAAAACCTGTTTTCATTACTTGGTCTCAAGTCCTGAGGACAGCCCAAATCCTCCAGCAGCTGAGCTTTCAATAAGACATTGTTTGTTCTGCTTCGGCTGTCAATAAGATGTCATTACTTTAGCTGCAAGATAAGAAAGGATTTGTTAATGGCTCCTCTTGGGGGATGGTGACATTTTTTTCCCCTTATAGATCACTGGGGAAAAAATATGGAAGCAGGCTGACAAGGAAGGAAAATCAGTTCAGCTTAAAGTTATGAAGAGCAAAAATGCAGCCTTTTTCTTTTATTTGTAGTCACAGGTCAAAACAGTGGTATAATATGCAAGGTGCATACTGTATATACCTTTTTAAGAGAGGAAAAAAAAGACACTTTATCATCTCTTTAAAAGCAAACTGCTGTGAGCTGTAACAGCTTCTATAACCTAACGTTAACTGAAGTATGGTACTCCTCAAGAGGCACATCAGTTTTTGCCTTTCCCAGATCTAACTAAGTAGTTACTAATTAACAGCAGATATGGCAAAAATTTTTCAGCTCTTGCTTTGGCATAGCTGTCATTGCTGTAACCTGGGGGCTGTGCAGCTGGGGATGGAGCTGCTCTCACCCTCACCCCAAGACCTCAGCCTCTGGCCAAAACTTCCTGCAAACAGCTCTGTCTGGGGTCGTCTCTGCCCCCAACTGCAGAGCAGGCTTCCGCAGGCAGCCCATCACAAAAATCCCTGGTTGTCCAGGGTTTGTAGAGACCAGGTGACATTTTGGTAATATTCAGAAATAACAATACCATCGTCTTTGCAAAATTGCATTTAAGACAACGGTTAAGGGCCTGATTCTGCCAATTTTCAGCTGCCTGTATAATCTTCAGTGTAGTTAAAATTATGAACACCCAGAGGGCATGTCTGAACTTGAAAATTCTCTTGGCTTTCAGGTGAAGCTTGAGCTTAAGGCACAATAGCTCCCCCTGAATAGGGATATTCAGAGGACCCAGACCAGGTGCCAAGACCAGCCCAGGCATTTTCAGCTGTGCAGGGGACTCTTAAAGGCACAGCCAGGTCAGCTGGACAACCAGCTCAGGCAGGCAGGGAATCCCATTTTTTCCCCAACTCATTAAAATAATCGTGGGAAGAGGGAGCAGATCTGATTGCGTTTTGGTAGATTTCTGGGGCTGGAGGCTGCCTTGCTGCTGGGCTGCCTGTCCCACTGCCCTGTCCCCCACCTCCCACCCTGCATGACCCTCTGCCGGGGTGGCCATGCCAGCACAGCCACCCATGTGGCCACAGCCAGCCGTGCCAGCACAGCCACCCATGGCACCGCGCTGGTGCGCAGCTGCACAAACAGAGGGGTTGTCAGGAGGCAGCCCCGGGATGGGGAGGAGGAGGCAGAGACCCTGCCTGCTTATGCTGGCACAGCTGCCAAAATATTTCTACGGAACAAGTAACCTTAACCCCTGGCTCACCTCTTGGTAGCCAGGCTGATCTCAGCTCCGTAAAACCCAAGAATGTGAAAAACCCACCGACCCTTGGTGGAGGGGGTGGATGTTCAAGGCTGAATGCCAGGCTGGGGGTATCGCTCACTGTTTCCACCGGTTTGCCCGGCTCTGGCAAGGGAAGACCCCACGGTGCCCTTGCCACAGAGGCTTAGGTGTAACTCTGCTCAGGCTGAGCAGCCAGACCGGTTTAGAAAATGACTGCATGAATGAGCACAATGCGGCTGTAACGGGAGACCAAAGGGGATCCCAGAGAATGGGGCAGTAAGGTGATAGCTGCAGGTGGCTGTGGCTCCCGGCACAGCTTATGTAGCCTCTTGTTGTGTGACGTCCAGCCAGAAGCTGAGAAATTATGCGTGAGGGTTACATGGATGTCTAAAAAAATATAATCCCTGATATTGTGTTAATGTTATCAGAGTTGGCTGTAATTTCCCTCTTGTTGCACAATTTCAGAGTTCAAGGTTTTGGTTTTTTTTTTCTTTCTCCCACAGTCTCTCTCTTCATACACTAGAGGTGGCTTTTTGCTGCCCTGACCTGTGCATGCTGCACCATGGAACGCAGGGGGATTTTCTCCGTGATCTGTGTCGAGCACTTTTTCTTCTTTTTCTTTCTCTTCAGCACGTAGGAGATTACCATAACCTATGTATTTATAAAGAATACTATATCTTAATACAATTGGATGGAAGACCTTTTTTCTCTAATGGAAAAGAGCATCTTGCAGGCTGGGAGTTACATTCTTTATAGCTGGCAGAACACCCATCAGTGTGTGCATGTGTGTGTATGAGCTTGAAAGAGGGTAAAGGATACATACTCACATGTACACTCTATCCATACCCATGTGGTAGGACTGCCTGGAATAACCAGAGAATTGATGAATCCATTCTAAAAGTGAGAGAATTGGTTAAATTTTTTTTGCATCATTGCTGACTGATAAACTGTAACTTTAATCACAGCGATTAGCATTACTTTTACAGGATAGTTTTATCAGACAATGCAATAAAAATTGTAGAAAACAACTTCAAAAGGCTCTTCTTTTGATGTACTTCCAGCTTACAAATAAAAAACCACTTTCTTCAACTTTGCTGGAAAGAATTTGTTACTATTATCAGGATAGTAAGATACATTATTTTCTTATGAGGAAAGTATTGCCCCAAGTCATATGGAGGTTATTTATGATTAACTACATCTGTGCTGGTTTTGGCTGGGATAGAGTTAATTTTCTTCATAGTAGCTAGTATGGGGCTATGTTTTAGATTTGTGCTGAAAAAAGTGTTGATACTATACTGATGTTTTTGTTATCGCTGATCAGTGCTTACAGAGAGTCAAGGCCTTTTCTGCTCCTCACATGGACCCACTGGTGAGCAGGCTGGAGGGCACAAGAAGATGGGAGGGGACACAGCTGGAACAGCTGACCCCACCTGGCCAAAGGGCTATTCCATACCATGTGACATCATGCTCATCATATAAAGGTAGAAGAAGAAGAAAGAAGGGAGAGGATGAGGGGATGTTTGGAGTTATGGTGTTTGTCTTCCCAAGCAAGAGTTATGTGTGATGGAGCCCTGCTTTCCTGGAGATGGCTGAACATCTGCCTGCTGGTAGGAAGCACTGAATGAGTTTCTTATTTTGCTTTGCTTGTGTGCATGGCTTTTGCTTTACTTATTAAGCTGTCTTTATCTCAACTCATGAGCTTTATCACTTGTATGATTCTCTCCCCCATCCTGCCATGGGGGGTGTGAGCGGGAGGCTGGGTGGCACTTAGTTGCCAGCTGGGGTTAAACCACAACAATATCCTCTCAGCGTTTTGTGTATCTGTTACTGATCCATGGTTGAGGTCCACATAAATGCAAATAAAAATAAAGCTTGCAGGCACCAGCACTGCTTCCCTGTATAGGAAATACAGCCTTATTTAGTCTGGAAAAGCATTTAGACTGGAAAAGACAGGTAGCTACACCAGAGAGAAATCTAGACTTGGTGTGAATTGCTGATACCATTGTGGACATGTCTGATGACGTGCAGGTGGAGTACAGTGGTGAGGTGGGTGTACCTGGTGGGGCAGAGCACTGCTTGCTTTCACCTGGCACATACTGGCTATCCAAAATAAGCACCTCAATTCACCCGCTCTGACAGAAAGAATTAAAACTCAGCAGGCATCACCAGATGCTACTTTGGCTATCTGTGTATTAAGTAGAAAAATACTAAAGCCTATTCTTTGAAGGGTTTTAAATATATCAGTCAATTTAAAAAGATGCTGTCCTCATATAGGTTTGGCCTATGATGATACTGTATCCTTCTGCTTGTAGGACGATGACCCATATTGTGCTTCATCATGAAGTTGCTTTTGTTCTTCCTCTGACAAAGTCAAATCGATGCAAGAGCAGCAGAACAGCTTGGGTACTGGCATCTGTATGACACATAGCCCTTAGTCAGCAGAAACCAGGTTGGAAGTAGAAGTACCTCTGCTTCCACAACTATCATAAAGCTCCAGAAAGCAGATCTTGGGAATCCCTAATGGTCTGTTTGTGGGGTTTTTTTGTTTGTTTGTGTTTTTTTGTGGTTGGACTCCATGGTCTCAAAGATCCCTTCCAACCATGAAGATTCTGTGATTCTGTGAAATAAAAATAACACACCTCAATACAAAGAAGGTTTAAAATGACTCTCTAACCTTTCTGTTCTCTAAGTGTTAGAAAAGGATTTCCTCAAAGTAGAGAGGAAGAGGCAGAGCAGAAGCAGAAGAGAACTGATGGATGGATGGATGGTGGATTGCAGGGAAAGACAGAGGGAGTGGACTGCCCGGAGGTGGAAGCATCACAGACTCGATCCAGATGAAGAAATAAATGATGACTTTGAAACATAACACAGGGTTTATCATGACAAGAGTGAAAGGGTATAAAGACCTAAACTGTTTATTTGTATGAGAACATAATGGTCCTTGTCATCAACTTGGTGTTGAAAGGAGTGACTTTCATCTAGAGGATGCAGAAAAAACAGGAGATAAATTTCAGTACTAGTAACAGTTTAACGGAAAAAGATTGAAAAAGAGGAGGAATATGGAAATTAGACAGGGATGACATGGTAAGAATTTAAATGTGGCATTTGGCAGCAGCAGTCTCGTTCATGGAAAAACAATACTAATCAACATCGGATGTATTGTTATTTTAAAATAGACTTCATTTAATGACAATAAATATACAATCTTAATATTCAGAAACTAATGGCAAACATTCTTAGAAAAAATACAAAAAAATACATTCTTACATTCTGAATTTTATCAACATACACAGTGTCTAAAACAGTGGCATTGATCTGTAATTTATGGTGCATCTTAAGGCAATGAAATAGTCATTGGTCCAAATTCACCCTGACTTCAACAGATCTGTATAAATTGAGAGTCTGGCCTACATATCAAGTGTAAATAAGAGTAAAATTGAGTCATAGTTTAAAACAAATGTTAATTTTCCCTTCAAGCAGATCTTTAAATATTATTAGAGTGACCTAGCCTAAAAATAAAAAAAGTTACAAATACTCATGTTGGCAACTGCCCCCCCAGCATTTTGTTCTGAGCACATTTCAGCAGTTGGAGGTAGAGGCTACAGAAATTGCACAGCTTAAATCAAACTATTAAAATGCAATTATTAGGCACTCTGTTGGTTTCCCCCCTTCTTTCTCTCTCATTCAGAACTCTGCTGTGAATAACACTGTCCATATGGCAAGCTGAACTGAATTCCTGATATAATGTCTTCTGAAATTAAATGTTACAGCTACATTAGCAAGGAGTGTGGCACTTCAGAAGCAAATCACTAGAGCAAAAAGTTGCTGTTGACTAGGTGATGCCCACGCAGTGCTCACCGCTCTCTTCGGCCTGGCTCTGGTTTTAGCTCTCTGGACTAAGCGCCTGCTGGAGACTATTAAGTTCATATCTAAAACCTGCATTCTGGTTCAGTTTAAACCAAGAGGAATCCAGTCCGTGTGCTCCAAGACCAGTTTATGATGGGAAGCACTGCCCAGAAAGTGGGGACAAGTGGAAGACTAGTTTCAAAAGCACACTCCTGATCTGAACAAAAATGGTAATCTAGAAACGCACCCAAAGCTGATAAGGATTTTGTTATGGGAGGAGCCCAAGTCATAGATATACACGCTTTGCTGATGTAGCAAGTTTTTTTAAATCATTATTTTAAAGGCAGGAATATAGACTCTCAATGACACTCAGGGACAACTCCCCCTTTAGGAAATGCTGCCAACTGATGTAAAAAAGGGCAACTGAGAGAGGCCACAAGAACCAAACAAGGAGCAGAAGACCAGGCAGTTCTGAAAAATCAGCCTCAAGCTCTGCCACTGCTCACAGTGTGTCCCCAGGGAAGGCACTAAATTTCTTTGTTTCCTAGTCTCTTCACCTCTCAAAGAGGGCAATAAATGCTTTCTTAAGACCAAATAATTACCTGAAATGGTCATTTTGTGCTGCACTTTTTTTTGCTTTATCATGGGATGCTTCCTTGCCAGCCCGAGCCCTCCAACACCGCACCTGAAAAGGTGTTTAAGGCACACTGGGCTGTGATCACTGATGGGGTTATGAAAACAGCATCTCTCAGCTGAACACAACCAAAGATGGGGAATGCCAGTTCAAAGCTAAAATCAAAAGCTCCAAGTATGAAAGGAGCTGGCTGGCCTTTCTAACTAAACTAATTTTGCACAGGGAAGTCCTGCGTACTTCACTAAAATTGTTCCATGAAACAATTTTTTGGACAAAAATTTGTTTTGAACACAAAGTTTGGTAAACCATGCAGTGACCAGATCAGAGACAACGTGTACAAACTGAAACACAGGAGGTTCTTTCTGAACATCAAGAAAAACTTTTTCACCGTGAGGGTGAGCGAGCATTGGCCCAGGTTGCCCAGGGAGATTGTGGAGTCTCCATCGTTGGAGATATTCAAAACTCATCTGGACGTGGTCTTGTGTAGCTGGCCCTGTCTGAGCAAGGCAGGGTTGGACCAGATGATCTCCAGAGGTCCTTTTCAATCCCAACCACCCTATGATCTGGGGAAAAGGTCAAACCAGTATTTGAGGGGATATGTTTTGGTCAAAATTCTGTCTTTATTTAGAAACTTCTAAGTATTTGTCCATCTGCCCAATTCATACTTGCTTCCTGGTAAATTAAAGACTTGTCATGATTCTGATGCAACCAAAACAAATGACAAAAGGTAGAACTCCCTGTGCAAAGAAGCACTGGTTCCATCACTGCTCTGGTTGACTTGTCATTTATTGTTATGGTTTGTTTTTCTGTCCTGCGTCTTGTCTCCAGGTGGTGTGTACACAAAATTTTCTGGGCATTATAATAAGTAAGCTTCAGTCCTTCAGTGTCAGAAATGAAGCAGTTCTCTGGAAGCTATGAGTTTCTTTCTTTCATCTTTCCTTGATTTTTGAACCAAGCTTTCCTCTCACAATTGTGCAAAGTCTTGCTGAGTGAAGGCTCGTGTATCATGACTGCTGAAAGGACTCACCTCAGGTTCTACCTCTTCTGGTTTAAATGGTGCCTTCTCAAAGGATAGGCTGGAGGTATGCAGCAGTCAGTATCTGGAAGTCTTGCTACAATGTTTTGATGTTTGATTCCTTCTGATTATTAGTGGGATAAAATACATCTTATAAATGCTAGTTAGTTTCTACAAATGAACGTCTTAATATGGAAAAAGCTATATGAATAATCTGCCTAAAAAATCTGCATATCTATTACATTTATGAAGAGTACAAAACTACAAATGCAACGGTAATCTCACTTTTGCTTTTTTAACAAGATTTGGTTGTCAGAATTTGTAGAAATTGGTCTGCTAAACTGTTAAAAGAGAAAGTAAATTGATAATCTGGAATATCCCTGCTGCAGACAAAAAAGCGGAGATGTACATACAGGTTTAATCTGTAATTCCCTAACTCCCATTTTGCAACTGGAGCCAAAATAGCCAAGCTGATCTGCAGCCTAATTTGAAGATGACTGGTGGCTCTAGCACATGCATCCACACCTCTCACATCCTTCCTAGTTATTTAAAGCTTCATAACATGGTTAAGGCACATTAAATGGTTTATTCCAATCTCCAGTTTCAGTAGATTCATGGTCTTGTCAGAATTTATTTTATCACGCAACAGGTATTGCAACAGGTGCAGCTCCATGTTCTTCCTATGTTGAAATATTTCCGGAAAGAAGAGCACGGTGCCTCTGGTGTGGGAGAAATTCAAAAGACAGCCCTCCACAAATATTGATTTGGTACGTGAAAAGACTCTTAACACTCATTACTGTTACAGGCAGGAGACCTTCAATGCTATGGCCATTCAGGGCAGAATGGGCAAGTGAAGTAATGAAAGAACATTGACTGAGGAAAGATAAAATGCCTGAGTTTTCTACTCACTTGGAGTGCTGTAAAGTCAGTTTGTATGCATTGATTTCAAAGGCAATTCTCCTGTTTACACAGAGATTGATGAACAGGATGGGCTTACAGTCCTGCTGCTTCTTCTGATCCAAGTCCATGATTAATTGAAATATCTTGTTATCCATTTAAGTCTCAGTATGCATAGCTAATTCAGTGTGGCACACAACAGCGCTTAGTATGTCGATTCCAATGGCTTAACAACATGATTTTAAGTTGTATTTTTCTTCATGTTTTGGCTTTTCCTCCTCATTTTATAGTTGGGCTTTACATTAGCAAGTAATCAAAACTCCTTCAGAAGAAGTGATGAAGTCATTCTTGTTCTTAAGTTTTTATTCAAGTCAGACAAGAGATCTAATGGCTGATGCCTAAAGAAAGTGGAAAGCACTCCATGTATTTGAGAATTGATCTGCATCACTTTAAGATGATAAATAATATTCATCTTCATGTTACAAAAATATGCCCTACTAAAGCTGTTTAAAAAATTGATAACTCTTATCTGAGACACAGTGGTTGCACTTGTCCAAGGGAAACAGGAAAATGCAGGTAACAGTTGCAAGAAACAATGTTTAGTAAAGGGAATTAATCCAAAGTGTTCGATTAGCTATTGGTAATATCTTGGCAGGTACTAGCTGGCAAAATACTGTCATTCCTTATAAAGAAGTACTTATTCAGCTTTAGGTCGGAAGGTGCTGTCGACTCCTTTAATAATTTTGTCGGCTATTTTCCCCATGGTTTTCTTCACAACTTTGAGATCATTCTCATGCAAGAGTTTCTGTGTTAGGTACTTCTCTCGTTTGACCTTGCTCTTGGTCTTTTCTGATACATCCGGAATTACGTACGAAATAATAAAATTCACAAAGTATATAACATGCTGGGGAAGGTGAAAATGAAGAAATGTCAGTCAGGCTGAACAGGACATTATTATTATTATAAATGAAATGTCACATTATCTCTTAAGACTCTGAGCCGGTTCTGTACCTATATCTGTCACAGCAGAACAGTATTTTAAAAAGCAGATATGACTAATGAGTAGAATAATTGTCTGATAAACAAGAATTTCTGATTTTCTAATCCTGATTTTAACAAGGACTTCTCTGCCTGCTTTGGGGCAACCCTGGTACTTAGTGCTTCCCCCATGCATGGAAATATTGGTTCCAGTTTCTTTTAAAATTGTTTTAGGTTTGTTCAAGTAACTCTGGGTCAATGGACTTTGCTATGGGAACTCTGATCTAACCAGCTGCATGTTTCTGAAGACTTCAATAATTCCTGAATTAGGCTCTAAGTATATTTTATGATGAATTAATCCCTAATATTCCTCTCCCTTCATCTTGGACCAACTCCCATCTTTCATAAACCTGGATTGTAGCTGCAGAGGAAGGAGCAATTGCTTTTTGAATATCTAGACACTCACCTCTTGCAGTGACTTTCTTTATAGACTTCACTCTGCCGGTGCACATGTATTATGTATATGTATTCATGAGGCTGTGCGCAAACTTTCTCTAAGCATATGTAAAAATATTTTTGGTCTAACTGTCCCTTCTATTTCTGATACTAAAAATAATTTTACGGCTCTTGAGAAAAGAAACCACAGACGCGTGGGGCAACCCTCAGCTGACAGCATGACTTGAGAGTCTTCTTTCTAATTGTGCTACACCAAATTTACATCCCCCAAACTTGTGCCCATGCTAGCACACATCACCAGCTCTGGCAGCCGTGCCTGGGCAGAGTGTCTTGGAAGGATTTTTTGCACGGAGGGAAGAGAAATTTAAATAAGTAACGCTCAAACCCCCATATGCTTACCTCCATGACAATGATGAAAGCCAGCTTGGCTGCAATGACGTGCCAGTAGTAGATGTTGTGCTCATATTGGTGCTGGTGCCCAGCAGGGTAGCGGAGATCCCGGTATCTGAAAGCAAGGCAGGAAAGTCAGGATCTCGTCTCAGGCATCTCTGCAGTACGGCACTGCGGCCAGAGGATGGAGCAAGACATGTCCCTGCCTAACGCATCCAGGAACAGTCAGCTACATGGAACTACAGTAATGGGTAAAGTCATACCTGCAGAGTAAGCTGTATTTGGCTGAAATGCCTTTTTTTTTTTTTTTTTTTTTTCCCCTTTTTTTAAAATTTTTTTTTAAAATTT